AAAACCCTCACCTAAAAAGTGTGTACGGTCAAGGGAGATATGTTCTGGACCCGCCCACCACAAAAAAAAAACAAACAAAAAAAAGGCAAGATAGAGAGAGCCTGAGGGACCAAAATCCTATTTTTTTCTCCCCCCCCCACCAGCCTTGAAATGACTCGTTCAATGAAAATCAAACAAACATGTTGTCAATTGGACACAGCCCAAAGAACAGGTTTGTCGACTCATTGGAATGCCTAATTGCCTAATTGGAACGATTTAAAAAAGGACCAAGTCATTAAAATGAGGCTCAAAAAAAGTCCCCCCCCCCGAAAAAAAAAAAAAAATCAAGCCTTTCTCTCTGCTCTCAATACGCTAAAACATGCCCCGCTCAACTGTCAAATGTCAATCAAATACGACCTGGAAAAAAAATGGATGCTCCTTTGTCCAGCATCTGTCTGCCTCCTCCTCAAAAGAGATGCGCTTTCAGTGGATGGAATATATCCCGCCGCCTTCCCGTCTGATGACGGATGACCAGATTTGGTGTTGTGAGTGCTTTGGTGTCGGTGTGCGGCGTCCGGGACCGAAATGTGACGTTTCCATATTTCCACCAAGGACTGTGTGCGCTGAAAACCAAGGAGAAAAACGAAAGCCGAGCTTCGGCGAAATCTACCGACGTTCGGCGTCCGTCCGAACGTTTGTCCCGAGATGGCAGTCCGTGTTTTGTGTTGACCTCGCGGCCACGTGCGGCCATGACGACGTCATTGACCTTGTGGATTATTTGCTCGTGACTTTGTCAATGATAGATTTAGAAGTGAGCAAGTGTGAAATTATTTTTGATGTTGACAGATTCTATGGAGACTAGATGTGAACTTGTTGTCATACGCATCGCTCCTGTTCGGGAGGAGACGCACAAAGTGCGAATATTATCGATGCAATTCGGTAGACGAATAAAAAAACAAGCGGAAAACAATTGCTTCCTCTTTGATTTGGCCGCTCCGAACAGCGTCGCGTTCCGTTTGCTTTTCTTTCAGAGGTGACTGCGATGGTTCCGTTCCGTTCCGTTTTGTGAGCAACGGGTGACATCGGAGGGCTTCTCCGATGCCGTTCGCCTTTTCTGTCCGTCAAAGACGTCAAAGTCAAATGGACGCGGCTCGCTGCGATGCGCAACAAAGACTTTATTGGACGAAGATGAGAACGGGGATGCCGCGGCGTCGCCAATGTTCACCGCGACCGCCCCGTCTGCACATGCTCGCGATATTTTCCAAACCCGGTGGTGTTTTTGCGGACGACTGGCACCGGAACAAACCGAAAGAGACGTTCAAACAAGCCGGACCGGATGGGGGTCACCGGGTGAGAGGATCCGATCCAGTGCCAAACGGGAGCGCTGCGATGCGGAAGCGGAAGCGGAAGCGCTCGCCTGCTGCTCCTCAAACGGCGGAGACGTCGCAGGGCGGGGCGGCACTCGGCCCGCAGCCGGCGTCTTCTTTGGGGCTGCTGCATTTGTCAAGGACGGAAATCTGCGTTAGCGTGCTGCTCTCGGTAAACAAGGTTCGACGTCGTTGACTGTAGCGCAGGTAATTCTGAGTCTGCCACTTCCAAAACCGCTTCTTCAGTTCTGCCTGCACCTGCACACACACACACACACACACACACACACACACACAAAACAAAATGAATCATGGCAGCACTTGACTGGAATCTGATGAAGTACAAGCGCAAGATTTGTCAATGAATCTCATCGACCGGGGCCGGGAAACAAGTCAACGGGCATTTCGGGTGTCCTCCGCGAAAGCAGGCTGAGTAGAAGCAACCCGGACAACCAAAGTCGTGCAAAAAAGTTGAATATGCCGCAATTGGGTTCTCACAAATTTCCAGCGCTTATCTTCAAACGCGTCTCGTGCGTTTCCGCGGCAAATTCACTTGACGGGGTCTTTCGGAGAGCCGGGCTCACCGTGTCCGCGGTTGCCGGTCGCTGATCTGAAACCGCTCGGACATAAACCGCGCGACATTGACGGCGAACAAAATGACCGAGAACGGAAACCAAAAGGCCGATTTTGCATCCATTTCTTTATTTTGCGCCGTGAAGTTCTCGTTTCCAAGTCACTTACCTCCCCGTTCAAGAAACAGTAGAGGAAGGCCACCACAAATCCCTGCAAACAAACAAACGCTCGTTGTGAAGCGGGATTTGCCGAATCTCAAAAGAAGCGTCGCGAAGGATTGCACCTGAAAGGATCCCAAGCCGAGCTCGATGAAAAGACGGGCCTCCGCGCCCGTGTTCTCGGGTAGGAAAGCAAACACCATATAGTGCATCCCAAAAAGCGGAATGAGCAGCAGGGTGGATTTGGCCAGTCGCCTGAGGGAACACACACACACACACACGCACACACACACACGCGCGTACACGTGACTCCGAATGAGCAGGTTTGGCAAGTTCATCACGACGGGATGGCGTCTCACTTGAAGTGCCCGCTGTCATTGCCGGCGACGGCGGGAGATCGCAGCTTCTGCACCAGAATGCGGATCACATTGACGAAGATCATGAAGTTGACCTGCGGGAATAAATGCGGATGCGCAACGGACGCGCAGAGTCACGACTGCGCGCTCGAGTCACGGGCCGTCGTCACCGGGCCACCGCTATCGGGTCGGCGCTGCTCCATTTGTTCGTCTGGCCGCAAATTCATCCTACTGGCCAGTCCTCACATATCGATACAGTATATCCACACACACACACATGCACGCACGCGCGTGCACATGCCACGTGATCGCGAGCCCTGAGACCAAAAGATGGCTGCAAATGCTCAAATACTTTGGAGGGCTGCCAGTCGTTGCGGGCGATGGCTGCTATTCATCGCCATTTTTTTTTTTTATCTTCACCAGCAGGTACGTGATAAAAAGCCCGGTTGGGTTGACACCCCCGTCTGTGAGTATAGAGGGCTCCGTCCTTTATAAACAAGCCATGCACGTGTATGGCTTGTTTATAACAGCCCTCCGATATGGCCGCTGGTAGTGCATTGTGGGTAATTGCTCAAAGGACGGAGCCCTCCATACATCCGACCGCATGGCAAAATGTTGTCACGCTTCGTTCGATGCAAATAATTTTTTTCGGATCCCACAATCGCAGATTCCATCAAGAGCGCCGTACAAAAACGTTTATTCCAAAAAAATAATAAGAAATGGAAACAGAAATCGCCGGTCCAAATGAAGGACCAGGAAACTACGCAAAAACCCGATCACAAAAAGCGCTTGCACAAAAGGCAAGGATGAAAACAACTCAAAAACCGTACCAACAAAATATGTCCGACGTGTAGAACAAGAGAAACGATGACAAGAACGAATACGACAACGAGAGTAATTGACACGCGGGCAAGAGCAGTGGCGCGGCAAAGAAATGACAGAAGGACGCCGGGCATATACAAGGTGCCAGAATGACAGCTCGGCAGCAGGTGCGCAGCCAGTAAGAACGCTCAGCCCGCCACCTGCTGCCGAAAGCGGAACGTGACCAACGTGAGCATTTGAGCAGATCTACAAACGGAGGCGGGACCAGACGCCGCCAACGGTGATTTTGCCGTCCGTCAAAGGCGTGAATAGCCAGCTCGCGAGCTAGCTCGCCGGGCCTTGTCGAGATGTCGCGGAGAGATGCGCGACGCCGGCTCGACCGCCGCCGGCGTAACTCACCAGCAATGAGAGGGTGATTGGCGCTTTTATGATCCACCAGACGAAGGCCACATCTGTGTCATCCCAGCAGCTGAGGCGCAGCGCATGCGGGAATGAGATCAACAAGACAAGGGCGATACATTGTCACTCCCGCTCCGTCGCCGCCCTTCAAGTGACGCCTCGCTTCTTTGGCTTCTTCTTCGTCCTTGCTTTCTCTCTCCGGGCTGATTTAGCTTCCCCGCGACTCTTCATGAGGATAAACGCGACGGAAAATGGACGTACTGTACGATTGTCATTCGGTTTCACCTCACCCTCTGTCGTCGTAGAAGTTGCGCGTCAAGATCCACGCCGTGATGATTGTCGATGGCACACCTGGGGGAGCGCCCAGAGTTAGCGTGCGACATGGTGAGCGGCGGTGGGGAGAAAAACAAAACCAAAGAAAACGTACTCACCCCAACCAATGAGAACGTACCACCAGAAGTACTTCTTCTGGAAGACAAAGGTGAGAGCCAGCAGGGTCTGCAGGTACATGCCCTCCACCAAGAGCCAGAAGTAGTTGGCGAGGATGCTGAACTGGAAGAAGGCCACCGCCGATTTGCAGGACGTCTGCGGGGGGGGGCAACGACCAAAGAACGCCACGGTCAGCGGGCGGGAAAGGGGGCCGGTCGTCGCCTCGCGGTACGACGGCCCCTCGCGTCAATTTGGGGGATCGCGCAGATGAGGAGCAAACGTTGGCTCGCCGGTCACCTTTCCATCTCCATATTTGTCTTTTTCAACACTCACTGAAGACAATTTGAAAGAAGTGTCATGACAGCCGTTTGGATTTGGAGTGAAGAGCGGCCATTTGGTGACCGGGGGGTGTCTCACGCGGCACCGAATTTGGTGACATGGAAGGGCGCGACGCAGGCCACGCTCACTCACAGTCGACATGAAACAGTGGTCCAGGTCTTGATTGGAGAAAAGAATTTCGTCTTTAATGAAGACGGCGCTCGCTCTCAGAATGAAGGAGAAGAAGAGGTTCATGTGGATGTAGTTCCTGGTGCAGTGGAACTTCCTTCACAAAGAGAAATCATCAACGCCCGCCCCCCTCGTTTGAAAGAAGACAACTTTTGAAAGGATTCCTCGCGCACGGATTTCAGCGTGAGGGACTTTCCAAACGTTACCTGAAGACCGCAAAGACAAAAACGGCGGATATCAGGGAGACCAGCGAGGTCGCGTAGCCGGCCGTGTACACCTGCTTGAAGTTGGAGAAGTACGTCGTCTGAATTCCAAGACACAAGAGGAAAAAGAAGGGTGAGCGAGCAGCTGAAATTCCCTCCGGCAAACGGCGGGCTTCTGGAACAAGTTGCCCAAGTGCCACCTTCTTTTCACCAAAACACTTGCTCGCGTCAGAGCCGGTGCGACGTCACGCCGCGTCCGCGAGCCCCGGCCGCTTCACGGAACTCGCTCTCCGCCGATCGCCGCGCCGATCGGAGGCAAGAAACTCGGCGCTACGGTCACAAACACTTTGTTGGAAGCTCGCCTGAGGCCATCTGTAGTCGGCGGGTGACGTTTGGAGCCGCCGTCCGGCGACGGGTCGAGCTAGCGGTGCTAACTTCAATGAGCGCGCAACCTATTTCGATTGTTTCGGATCCCCAGGGGAGCCGCCAAAACCGTCCGAGTAAAACACTCAGGTCACTTTAGGCATACAGGTAGGGGTGTTTTTTTTGTACATTTTGCTGTTTTTGTGTCCTGGACTCTGGTTCTGGATGTGGCCGAGCAGCGCCAAGTAAAGCACCGGTCTCGGGTCATTTCATGCGCACAGGTTGGAAGGTAAAACCATTCTGAGACCCAAGTTGACTTCGGTGGAATAATAAAGGACCACAAAACAGAGGAGACCACCCCCCACCCCCCCACCGGTCAAAGCACCGGTCTCGGGTCATTTCATGCGCACAGGTCGGAAGGTAAAACCATTTTGAGAGCCAAATCGACTTCAGTGGAATAACCCCCCCCCCCCACCGGGAAAAAGTCTCCATGAGCCAATTCCTGACGCTGAATGGTTTCTTGTCTCTGCGGACTGGACTCGACGCGTATCGACCATCGAGTACGTGCCGATCGGCGTGAAGTCGAAACGCGCTCTTGCCATTTTGATCGTCGCATTTGTTGGTCGATTCAGTCGCCGGCTGGAAATGGAAGGAGGAAAAAAATAGAACAAAGCAGAGCGAGCGGATCCCCCACGTGAGCGAGACGCTGGCGCGGGCCCGCCGGCG